ACATATATATATATATATGCACAGGCATTAGTGAGACTATAGAATATATAATACACACATATACAAGTGCAGTAACAAGTATATATAATAAGCAATACAAAGTGCACATATGTAAATGCATCGGTAAATATATAAAATATATAATATGCACGCATACAGAAACATAAATACACACATACTACTTTAGTATATATGCATATACATTCATGTATATATATGTATACAAATAAATATAAATATAGATATTAATATATATATATATATATACCTAGCCAAGTATGCGTTGTAGCATTTGGGTTCTTCTTGCACGAATTCTTCAACTCGCTGCAATTCTTCCTCCGCCATACTTCGACTCAGGTGGGGCGGCAGCTTCGCCCCTGCTGCTGCTGCAGCCTCTACTGCAGCAGCAGACTCAGCCAGAGCTGCTGCTGCAGCAGCACCAGCCTCTGCTGAAGAGGCAGACTCAGATGTGGCAGTAGAAGCAGCAGCATCTGCTGCAGCTTCTGTTGAAGGCAGGGGCGCTTGGTTGCATGCAGCGGCTGCAGCGGGACTGCAGCAGCAGCAGCTGCTGCCGCGAGAGTACACCGCACCAGAGATAGCCCAGGGATAGCTCGTGGCTGCTTCTGCTGCACGGAGAGAAATTCTGCTACTGCCGCTGCTGCTGTTGGTGCTGGGGGTTATGGTGTAGCAAAGCCATGAGAGCGGAGGCTGCTGCAAGATTTCTTTTGTCTCTTCTTTTCCCTCTTCATCTGCAGCTTTGGCTGCATCGTTTGAACCCGACTCCACAGCAGCAGCAGCAGCACCTGCTGCTGCTGCTGCTGTTGCTGCTGCTGCTGGCTGTTTCAGGATCGCGCGTAGTTTGGGTGCTGCGGTGTACAGACGGTGGAGGTAAAATTCGTCGACGTCTTCGCTGATGTTTGCTGAGGGCCCCCCCTGCGCTGTCACCGCCAAATGCGCTCGTAGACAAATGCTGCATGCAGCAGGCGGTGTTGCTGCTGCTGTTGCTGCCGGTGCTGCTGCAGCATCAAGAGATAGAGGAGAGCGCAACTCAAATTGCCATACGGGAGACAGAGGAGGGCCCTCCACCTTCGCCAGCCTGCAGCAACACGCAAACCACACGCATACAAACAGCAGCAGTAGCACCAGCAGCAGCGGCAACAGCAGTAGAGGCACGCAAAGATATATCGGTAGCTTTTCTATGCACGCCGCCGTTCGTAGCTGTAAACGAAAGATGTAAGCAATATTAATGCTTTTTATTATTTTTACTATTATTATTATTATTATTATTATTACCATTATTATCACCATTATTATTATTATCATCGTCATTATTATTATTACTGTTATTGCTACTACATTGTTATTATATTTGTATTTATCACTACTATTACGATTATGATTGATTATTATGAGTATTATTATTATTATTATTGTTAGCGTTGTCATTGTCGTTATTATAATTATGGTTATTACTATTATCATTGATTTACATTCTAATCAACATAAACATTAACATTAAGATTCTGAGTAACACCCGGAAAAAAAGCATAAAAATTATAAACTGTTATTATTATGAATTGCCGCACTAATAAACGGCGATAAGCATTGAGTATTATTATCTCTTTGGTCCTAACCTTGGGCTGCTGCTGCTGCTGTGCGTTAAATGCAGCGAGCCGAGTGGCTTCCATTTGCCTTCAAGTTGAAGTTGAGTTGAGGTGTCTGCAGCAGCAAAGACAGAAAGACAGCAAGGTAATTGTACACTTGAACGGTGCGATCACGGGCAGCTGCTGCATGCAGAAGAACTCCTTAAAGACCACTGCATCTGCTGCTGCTGCTGCTGCTGCTGCTGCTGCTGCTGCTGCTGCTTACTGGATGTCTGCTGCAGCAGCAGGAGCAGCGACTGCTGCGTATTTAAAGCACAGGGTAGAGCAAAGAAGAAGAAAAGAGAAGCAATAAAACCTTGAGAGATATTCAATCGCACAGATAAAAGAGAAGAAGCCCCCGCACTCCGCTGCTGCTGCAGCAAACGCCAATACGCCACCCATAAACTCTGATCCGTCGGGTCGGTGTACAAACCCTGAATGAACATCAAACAAATTAAATCAATAAAATCAAAAACCTAATTAATCACACAAATAAATAGATACATATACATATATATACATATATATATACATATATATATATGCGGATGAACTCAAAAATGATGTACATAAGCAAATAAAACAAATAAAACAAATAAAAAGAATTTATCGAAAAGAAATTCAGATAGTAGATATAAAGGAAAACGAAATAAACGAGAGAAAGACAAAGACAAGGGGAATAAAGAAGGAAAAGACAAAGATAAATAAATAGGAGAAAGAAAAGCGAAAAGACAAAGAGAAACAGAAAGATAAGAAGAAAGATAAAGAGAAAGACAATAAAGAAGGGGAACATAAGCAACAAGACAGAAGAAAAGAGAAAGAAAAGCAGAAAGATATAGCCAAAGACAAAGAGAATAAAGAAGAAGACAGAGAGAAAGAGAAGGGAGAAACACAAGAGTGAATATTTCTGCAGAGAAAGAGGATGAGAATGAAGAAGCAAAAGATAAGCAGAAATATGGATAGAAAGAGAAGGAAAAACAGAAAGACAAATAAAAAGACAAAGACAAAGACGAAGACGAAGACGAAGACAAAGATAGAGATAGAGATAAGGATAAAGATAAAGAAGGAGACAAAGACAAAGAAGAGACAAACAAATGAATCTTTCTGCACCTCACCCTCCACAGCAGAGACAATTCTTCTTTTATATTTATATTTTTTTCGTGAAGACAACGATAATGCCAAGCAGAATAACAGGAGAAGTCATTTTCAATCAAAGACAAACAAAATAAACCCACGGCGCAGTCACTCCTTACACCCAGCGAAACATCTGCAGCAAACGAAGACAGAAAGATAAGAAAATACTAATTATTTACTATTTTTTTCATTATTACACAATGCAAACGCCAGTATAGCATAAAGCAAATGTATGCACTAATGTACAAATGAGTATATATATATATATATATATATGCATATTTGCATGTGCATAGAGCAACGACTGAAAAAGGAATAGCAGCAAGAGAAAAAAAAACCGCTGCTGCTGTTGAACTCATTCATACTGCAGCTTATTGCTCTCTACTGCAACAGCAGCAGCCGCAGCAGCACTAGCAGCAGCAACAGCGGCAGTAACCGCAGCAGCAGCAATAGCAGCATCCGGTGCCGCTCCTGAGCCTTCGTTGGTCGCAGAGAGGAGTAAGGGTTTAGGGTTTAGGGTTTGTCTTACTGCATGCATTTTGCTGCTTCGGGGCTTTATTGAAGAGTTTAGCGTTGAGAGCCTCCAGCGCTGATTCCCAGATAAATATCATCGTTCTGTGCTGCCAGCAGTGAAAGTTGCGGTTGTCTTGCTGCTGCAGCAGCAAATCACAAGCATTTAGCTCCGACTGCAGCAAAGATAAACCCTCCACAACTGCTGCTGCTGCTGCTGCTTCCTCCTGCTCCTGCTGCTGTTGCTCTTCTTGCTGCTGCTGCTGCTGCTCTTGCTGCTGCTTGGGTTTGTGTTTAAGGGGGAGGGTTTGTTCTGCCTTGAGGTACTGCAGCAGCGGCTGCAGCTGCAGTTGCAGCAGTCTACCCAACGCCCAGCTGCGGTGCAGCCAGAGACAATATGATTTGCTGTTGCCCCTCGCAACCAACGATGTCGTCAGCTGCAGCTCCTCTTGAAGCAACGCACACAATGATGCATTCTCAGTCAAATCTGTGCTGTTGTTGCTGCTGTTGCTGCTGCTGCTGCTGCTGCTCGTGCTGTTGCTGCTGCTCGTGCTGGTGCTGCTGGGGCTGCCAGGGTTGCTGTTGTTGGAATCTGAGGTCTTGGATGTATGCCCCTGCTGCTGCTGCTGCTGTTGCTGCAGCTGCTGTTCCTGCTGCTGCTGCTGCTGTTGAGAGAGGAGTTTGTTGAGTACTTCTTTTCTGTAGTTCCAAACAGTGGCGAGTTCCGGGTGAAATTCAATGAGTTTGCGGGTGGCTTGAAGAATTTCAGGTGAATGTACACCTGAAGAGCGCTGCGTGAGGAGGCGCTGCAGCAAAGCAAAGGCCAAGCGGATTTTATTGCGTTGTTCTTCCTGCTTCTCTGCAGAGAGAACAGGTAGCTGGTCGCGTCGTCTGCCATGCATTTTGCTGCTGTTGTTGTTGCTGCTGCTGTTGTTCCTGCTGCTGCTGCTGTCGTCGCGGCCGCTGCTGCCACTGCTGCTGCTGCTGTTGTTGTTGGTGTTGTCTTGTTCTTAATAAAGGGGGTATATGAGAGGGCTGCTGCCGCTGCCGCTGCTGCTGCTGATACCTCGAGAGCTGCTTTGTGCTCTCAGTACCCACGAGCACCGATGTCTGGCCGCTGGCTGCCTCATTAGGCAGTAGAAAAGATATAAAGCTGCATATACACCGCTATTAAAACAATTAATTCCCTATTTAAACTGTTTTTATGAATTGAGAACGTCTTCATTGCATACACTCAGCATTTGCAAGGGGGCCCCCCAGGCGCCAGCGAGCGGAGGTAGATGAGGGCCCTTGGTTGCAGTGTCTGTATAATAAACGGAATTCAAAAAATAAATCGATTTAAATATATTAAATATATTTAAAATAAAACAAACAAAACTATTTATTTTAGTCAAATTACATATCTCAGACTCAGACCGCTGGAAGGGTTCGCAGGAAGCATGCGGCTTTCACAGAAGTTTATTTCAAAGGGAAAGAGAAAGAAGAAAACTTAATTATAATATTAATAAAGTTTAATTATTATTTTTATTTTAATTCAACTTTGTTTGCTGATAAACAGGCAATGTTTAACTAAGTTTTTACTTGAAACACCGCTGAATTATTTCGCGGGGTTATTTCGCTGCATCCGCCGACTCACCAATTTGCGTGGACTCCACGAAAGCAGATTGCGCATTATAATATATATGATATCTATTATTATATATGTTATGAAATATATATATATATATACATATATATATACATGTACATACATAATTATATATATACATGTATATATATATATATATATGCATATGTATATAATAATATGTGATATGTACATATTATATATATATGTTTATATATATATATATGCTCATCTTTGCCAGTAAACAAAGTGTAAACACAATAATATATTTTTCTTTAAGGTGGAAGTAGAAAAGGCTGAGGCAATAAAAAGGATAAAATCTGCAGGTAGTCCTGCGGAATATTCACTGCATATTTCCGAGTTGAATACAAAAAAAACCTTTTAAAAACGAAATAAAACAAATAAAAACGGAAGAGAATATATCTCTAAAAGGCTTCAGAAGAAGGCTCAGCAGAAGTGGTTATTGTTTAATATATTTTGTGTATATTGTTCTTCGTTTTTATTTGCGTTTTCTCCGTTTTATGTTTTTCTTCTTTTGTTTGTTTAACTTGTCGAGTTAAGAAGCACCCGCAGGAATGTTCTCCTTATATTGCAGCTGATCTTCTGTTTTATATTGCCTTTCTTCTTCTGTTTTATTAGAGATCAGCATAATTAAATACTGTTCTTGTCTAAGTTGTTTCAGTTGAAGGTTTTTAGTGTTTATGTTTATTAGTCAAATAGAAGGAAAATACGAAATGTTAAAACAGTTGTTGTAACGCCGAGGAAAGAAGCGAGAAAGATTTGTACAGACCCTGAAAATAGACAGGAAACGGCAAATAAACAAATATAATGCACAAAATAAACAAATAAATTAAAGTAAGTTAATTACAGTTTAGTGTATCTCCAAAAAAAAAGAAAACATACAAAAGCCGACCTGCGATAACACCCCATTTGAGTCTTTTAATGAATGTTATTTCTAATTATTGTTGCTTATATGTGTGTACTCTAGTATTTGTTTTAATATTATTTTTATTTTTTTTAATATTTAGCTCCTCACACGCTATTATCGTCGCTGCGTTTGCATGCGGAGGAAGTATCAAACTGCCCAACGCCCGCGCACGACGAAGCCGACTTAGAAACCTCCAAAATATATAAACAACACACAAACAACATCCCCAACAAAATATGCATGCATGCATGCATTGTACGGACAAATGCATATGCATGAGTGTATATAAACGATTATGTTGCGCATGGATCTGAAAAACATTCTGTCTTAAATACAAAAAAAATACAGAAACCATTTTCATTATTCCTAGCCAACTACTTACAGATGCGGTGCACTGCCACCTTTGCTGCTTTCAATCTCCCGGCTTCGTTGCCTTAAATTTTCAATTTTTAACTTCAATTTCCGAATGTCGTCGAGCCTTTGCTCAATTACAGGCATCCGGTTCTGCAGCGCAGCAGAAGATATGAGCAAAGAGAATAATTTGTTGCGGCAGCAGCAACACCAGCAACAGCAGCAACAACAGCAGCACCAGCAACAGCAGCGGCACCAGCAGCTCCTGCTGCTGTTGCTGGTGAAGCCTTTTCCTTTTGCTTTTTTGGGTTTTGCTGGGCAAACGAAGGGGCACAAACAAAATAAACAAGTAAACAAACTAGTTAATTAAAAGAGAAATTTTTTTTTCTTTTCACCTCCCTCCAGCGTCTTCTAATCTCTTCAACGTCGTCGTCAACGTCCGGTAACTCGGGCTGAGAAATAATATGGGCTGCGACGCACCTCTAAACAAAACAAAGAAAAAAGAACAAAACAAACAAACAACAGACAATACACAATAGACAACAGTAGCGAACACCCGACAGAATATAATAATGACGCCGCTATGCAGTGTGGATGCGGTAACGCGGCAGAAACCTCAAAGATTGCACATGTTTAAAAAGGTGATTAATTAGATATAACATATACCCACATATATATAGGTATATATATATATATATACATATACGTATATATATTCGTATTGATGTATCTATTTATAGACTTTGGCGTGCATGCACTCTTTTGTCTATGCAGATGCACTGCTTGTTGAGTTGTATGGGTTTATGTTTGAATGCATGTGTAGGTTAAAATGCATAGAAAAGCGCGCAAATGTGTATGTGTGAGTGGATGGAAGATGAATTAAGGCGTTTCTGAGGCAGTGTAAAACGAGAGATATTCTGCTTACCTGAAATCCTTTAGTGGCCCTGGGAACGAGGAAGGGCCGTGCTGATTGAAAAATACAAGAAAAGATATCATTTGGTTGGTATTTTTCTAGCAATATTTGAAGGTAATTGCATCTTTAATAGGAGGCGCAAGTAGGCAAATGACAGCAGAAAGAAAGAAATATGTATTATTGTATTTATTCATTTTATCCTCTCCGCAACTTCACCTCCGTTTGTCGCAGCGTCTACAACGGTGAACCAATCGGAGAGTTTTTCTCCTTGAGGCCCCCGACATACTGAACAAACGCTTTCAGCGCCTTTACAGGCATTCAGCCAGCGACTGAAACTGCCCGCAGATTCGTGCAACAGAGCACACCGCAAGAAAACAGAAGAACAGATTTGATTTGATGGATTTAGAGGAAGTGAGTAGCTTTTTCCTGCGTTTAGGACGCAGTAAACGACAAAATAAATAAAGGAGGAGTACCAGAGTTTGTGAAATTTATGGCCGCTAGGCAGAAGCGCCTTGACAGAAGAAATATCCTGATAAATTAAAATGCAAGTAATTATATTTAAATAACAAAAACGCTGTTCAAATTTTTGGTCGAAAACTTTCGCCGCAATACCAATCGCCAGCTAAACAAATGAACAAACACCACCCATCACCGACGCCTCGCGTGTGTGGCGGTGAAAACAGGCGCTGTTTTCGCTTATTTTATTCATTGAAACAATTAGTTGTGTTTTAAATATGATTATATATTAATTTGGCGTTTGTTTACCGAATATTTCCAGGAAATAAGCGGCGTTTTGGCTTCCATCGCCGAGCACTTGATGCATTATTCAAATACATATTTCAAGGCCGGATACAGCACGTGTCCTTCGCATTTTCTCACCTTCCACAGTTTAAATATATTAATACATAAAATTAAAAAAGGATATAAAAAGTTTTTATTAAGAATCGAAGTAATATATGTCAGACACCGCAGCTCGCGCGGAATTCCACGATGATCACGCAAAATTTACTGCTTTTAGTCGCGTTTCAACGCTTAGTGCCTCTTTAAACAATAGAAATGCATGCAAAATCGCATTATTACAAGATGTAAAATAAATAAATAACTGTTTTCCCTTATTATTCCTTTGAATTCCGCTGAAGTTTATTTGCTCGCCATGCGAGCACGGACGACTGTCGCCTGGGCGCACGGAGTTCTGTGATGTGCTGAGGGAACCTTCTTCGGGTTTTTTGTTTCGTTTTTCATAATATGCATTTTAGATATTCAAAAATGCAAGATATGTCTAGTTAATTTGCTTGAATTTCTCTTTTTCTCGCACTGTTAGGCTTCAAGACAACGCGGAAACCAACTCTACGTCTCCGCGTTGCCGCCGCAGAATAACTGCATTTTTCTCGTGAGTCTGCAGATGATTTGTAAGAAGCAATAATTTTATTTGATTTATTTCGTGATTTTTCAAGGGAGGTGAAGGGGAGAAGGAGTGTTGTGCAAATCATCGGATTTGTGTGCAGGAAACAAGAGCCCGTTGATATTTCTCTGAGTGTATGTGTGTTTTCGCTCTCAATAAATCATTTTTCTCCTTTTTAAATTGATTTTCATGTTTATTTACGTTGAAGTGAAGAAGAAATGCCGGGAATTTACTCCAAGCCTCCCACTCGAATAGAATTTGCTTCCGATATTCGCTGCTTGGTGGCTGCCGCTGAAGAGCGTTTTGCTTCTGGGGGTTGTTGGGAAAGCCATGTGCATCTGTTAGTAGACGAAATAGAAGCAGAAAGATTGAAGGCAAGAGAAGAGGCATTAAATGAACAGGAAGAGGAAGAGCGACAGAAGGCACGAGAAGGCGAGGAGAAACTGAAGGCGACAGACTTGCGATTGAATGAGAACAAACATACCACAGACAGCGAAATAAAACAAACAAATAATAAAACAAGCAAAGAAAAGATTCAGTTCCAGCAGCGCATTGCACGAAAAGATATCGATGTTGCTCATGTCTTCTTCGAATGCGGCATCCATCAATTCTTCTGCAAAATACTTCAAGAGAAAAATTTAAATGCTAATTACGCTGTTTTACAGCGCATCTTAGGGGTAATGCCAATAAAAATATAAACCCTTGTACACTTCATTAAATTAAAGAGAATTAACGTCTTTAAGCATAACAGTTCAGTTGGCTTGGTATAATATTAATATTCATTAATTCTACAGCAGTAATACACACATGAACGATATGCACAGTAATAGTATGCATATATTATATAACTTTTACAATTATAATAGAAATATTACTATTATAATAATAACAATACGCTCATAATGTGTCTGTACAACAGCATATATACATATATACATAATTTTTATATTGATGTATGCAATTCAGGTGTACACGGCATATTCGATGTTCCTTATGCATGCAACATACGCACAACGTCCCTTCAACACTTTAACCGTGTATATATATATAGTATAATAATAACACAAATACATGTATATATATATATATATATCTATGTACATATACATAAATGTTGATCTGGAAGTGAATATATATATATATATATATATATACATATACATATATATATATATATATATATTCATTTATTTATATATATGCGTTAGGGCGTTTGTGTTTCAGGTGTATCAGTTGTTTTCACTGATAGAGTTGGATCCGTTCGATGACGACTTGGGTGTAATGTCTCTGTTAAATTATTTTTTATGTGAACGCCATTCATATTATGTAGATATTAACTGGAAGGATGCGGAGCTGCAGCACATGCAGCAGTTTCTTTCTGCATTTCTCTCTTTTGTTTCTTCTTCTATCCGGCTGTATACACCAACATTTCTATCTTCTCAAAGCACCAACTCTGATGATAGCCCTGGAGCTATACATACGCTTGAACAAGACATTCTTAAACAAGAAACAAATGAAAAAGATAATCTGCAACTACAACTCAAACTCAACGCAATCAGGACCCTATACGCAGCACTCCGAACTTTCCCCCCACATCGTGTGGTCAGAAAGCTCTCTGCTTTTGGGTTTAGGGTTTAGGGTTTAGGGTGTGGCGTTACAGTTTAGGGTACAGGGCATAGGGGGCTCAGTGATTCATGGTTGAGGGTCTGCCGGTTAGGGTCTAGGATTTGCTGTCGTAGGGTTTAGGGATTTACGGTTTAGGGTTTAGAGTTTCTGGTTTGCGGTGATAGGTTGGAGGGTTTGCGGTTAGGGGTTTTAGGGTTTAGGGTTTAGGGTTTAGGGTTTGTGGTTTAGGTTTTATGGTTTAGGGTTTGTAGTTTAGGCTTTAGGGTTTAGGGTTTGTGGTTTAGGGTTTCTGTTTGTGGTTTAGGTGTCGAGGATGGCGTTTTGTTTTTCTCGCGTACGGTGTTTTGAATTTATAAAAAATTTGCGCGAATTAATCGCCGCCAATTTAAACCCTCAAACCGAACTCCTCCAACTGCTGGTGGGTTGGGGTGTATGCACACCTCGTAGAATGCTTGCAGTTTTGCTGCGGTGTATGCACACTGTATATATATAAATAAAGTATATATACACTGCGTGCATTGCCTTCAGTCAGTTGCGGAGTATGTATAGCTTGGTTAGTTTGTATGGTTTGTACAGTCCGTTAGAAAACAAACAAACAAACAAACAAGCAAAAAGACAAACAGACAAACAGACGAACAGAAAAACAAATAAGTAAATAAACAGTCGACGAAAATTTTTATTTGTTTGTTACAGCCTCAAACGGTTGCTGCTATTGCTGCCTTTGGTATCGGCCCTTCAATTAGCAGGCGAGCCGTTCGCGCCGCTCTTTGCTGGTCTTCTACAGCGTTTGCTCTTCCAGAAGAAAGGTATTTAAAAACAAGTACAGTCACGCGTCAATGTAGCTACGGAGCAGCAGCAGCAGCAGAAGCAGCAGCAACAGCAGTAAGGGCAGCAGCAGCAGCAGCAGCAGAAAAGGCGCCGGATCAATGGGGTGTATGCAATGGGACGTTGTGCTGAGTGTAATTGATGCGGGTGTTGAGTGTACATATTTTTCTGTCTTTTTGCGTATTTTTCTTCTACCAGGTGCCCCTGCCGCTACTGCGAATTCCACCGGCGTTTATTGAAGCTGATAAAAAAGCGAGATGAATTGGGAGTGCAGAATGCAACAGAAGCAAAACACCAAATTTGTTTTTCTCTTGTTCGAGGAGGCCTATCCAACTTCCTCGTCGATGTCCTGGAGGGCATAAAAGCAACAATGGGTGAGCCATTTTTGTATTTTTTAAAAAGCGAATATCTTTATTAACTATTATTATTTATTAGTTTGAGTTTTCAGTGAAAACAGCGTGAAAAATGAACCTAGTTCCGCTTTGTTTCGCCCGGTGGAGCTGCATGTACACCTCAAATAGCTGCTGCTACATTTGGGTGTATGTACAGCGGAAGACGAATTTGCTGGCGATAGCCTGGAGAACATTTCGTGGATTTTACTTTTATGTTCGTGGGCATACGAAGATGTACATCAAGGAAACAGCATCCTCTCTGCTAATGCCTTTAGCTTGACTGTGCGTAGTGCGTACACCTCAAAATAAAACAGACAACCCCCCTTTGCTTTGTTCATTTAAAATTAAATTATTTAATGCCACTTTAGATATTTTATTTCAAGCATGTCAATGCACTCTTCTTGTCGGCGTTGGCTGAGTCGTTGCATTAACTATTGTACAATATATATTATATTTAATAAGTTTATTCTATATTATATGTAATATATTTTTTATTTTATCTATTTGGTTTTGTTTTATTTGGTTTCGTCTTATTTTCCTGCATTTAATTAAATTTAATTTTGTGTTTTGTTTTTTTTGTTCTAGAGAATTCTTCTAGAAGTGCTGGAGGCATTTTATGCTTCCCCAGCATCAACAGCAGCAGCAGCAGCAAATCGATTTTTTGACGAGGGGGCGTCGAGCTTGCTGCGGGTAGTTTTATCTCTTGTTCTGCGTTCAAAAGAAAAAGAAAGAAAGTGTTTAATTATACTTTGCCGCGAGACGTTCAGCGCCATCGCCAGCTGTCTGTACACCGCACTGCAGCAGATACACCCCACAGTCGCATGCACAAAAACAACAGGCAAAGACGAACAACAAAACGAAACACCGAATGAAAACATCTCTTCAGGTATCAACAATACACCGTATACAGCTAAGCACTCAGCTAGGTACAATCTCAGCTAACTGTAGACTTAGCTAGCTACACTCTCAGCTAGCTATACACTTAGCTAGCTATACACTCAGCTAGCTACCCACTCAGGAGACTAGCCAGTCAGTTACTTAGCTAGCACGCTAGATAGCTAGCTAGCCAACTAGCTATCCAGATTGTTTTGTTTGTATTAATAATATTTTATTTATTTGTTTGCTTTTCTGTAATAAACCCTTATTAATGCATTTGTTTGGATAATATTTATCTATTTATTTCTCTTTTAAAAACCCTTCTTAATGCATTTGTTTTGTTTTATTTATTCATTTGTTTTTCTTTTACAGCCCCGCATTTGTCTTCGCCAGTTGACAGCCCGGCCTTCGACTCTGCAGAGAAAACACTCAACGTCGCTCTGCTAATCTTTGCGTTGTCTGAACTCCTTCTAGACCCAAGCACTAATACTAATACTCTTCAACACAAACAGCTGCAGCACCAGCAGCAGCAGCAGATGCAGCAGATGCAGCAGACGCAGCAGCAGCAGGGGAAGGAGCAGCAGCAGCAGATGCAGCTGCACGAGAAGGAGCAGCAGCAGCAGCTGCAGGAGAAGCAGCAGCAGCAGCAGGGTGATGGTGGTATAAATTCGCCCGTTGATTTGCTGCTGCGTTCATTAAATGGGCTGACGTCGACATTGGAGTGTCTGCTTCCTCGATTTGAGGTTTTAAAAGAAGAGAAAAGAAAAGAAGAAAAAGAAGAAGAAAGTAGAAGGGAGAACAAAACAGAAGCAGCAGCAGAAGTGATGCGACGCGCACCCCCAGAAGCCGTCGGCCCTGCTGGCTTCAACCCAAACGAATTCTTTTTAGGCACCTTCGGGTTAATGGCAGTACTTCTGGGGCTGCTGCAGCTCAAAGGAGTTGAACAACTACGATGGAGATTTGTCCCAAGCCCAATTTCTGCTGCTTCTCCTGCTGCTGCTGCTGCTGCTCCTGCTGCTGCTGCTCCGGCTGCTGCTGCGGGGGCATTCGCGTCCACAGCAAGGACTTTGCTCGGCCACTACCAAGAGGTAACGACAAATACTTAACTCTCGTGTGCTGATGATGATGCTGCTGCTGTTGCTGCTGCTAGTGTTGATGCTGTTGCTGCTGCTGGTGTTGCTGCTGCTAGTGTTGCTGCTGTTGCTGTTGCAGCAGCTGCTGTTGTTATTTCTGCTGTGTAATAATCCCCCACCCCCATTCAAATGCGCAACACACAAACAACAAACAGGGGCTGCATGCATGCACCTACAGATGGAATGTTTTCTGCTTCGTCTGTTTAGATTCAAAAGGAGAGATGTGAGACAGTGAAGAAATTCGCCAACTTTACTATTCTCCGATCAGAACAAGCAGCTGGGCTCGTACTGCGAGGTCGGCACAGATAGTTTAAAAAGTAAATAAATAAATAAATAAAAGTAATACTAGATAAATAGAATGAATAAATAAATAAATAAATAAATAAAGGGTTTTTAATTTGGTCTTTACCTTAAATGCAACACAGTTTGAAAAAAAATGTTGTTGTCGGTCTTCTTGGGGTGTACGTTCAGCTGCTGATGCGCTGTGTATTTACTTTAAGCTGAAGCAATCGTTTAAATCCCAATAAAAAGGAATTTTAATTAATTAATTAATTTAAATTGATTAATCTATTTGCTGTTTGGGAGTCTGAGGGCATTGGGGGCCGCCGAATCGAAGAAATTTGCTAACTCCGCTGTTTTCTGAATTAAAGTGTTGCGGGCGTGGGCGTCTGGGGAAAACTTGATTTGTTCTAGAAGTGAACAAAGTGACTGATATTTGTCTTGCATAGAATGAAGGTGCTTTTTATAAGAGTAGAGGGTCTTATGAAATAAAGAAGCAGAAGGACGAGCCAGCGCCTTCGCGACGTTGACTGGTGGTGTTCCTACTCGAATCATCATAGCGTTTTTTTCGGGTTTTCTGTAGTCCGGTATCTTTCCTAATTTTTTATCTGCTCTCCTCATTTGCTTTTTTAACTCTTTTAAACGCGCTGTCTCGCCGTACAGCAACAGCGGCAGCACAACAGGCTGCCGAGGGGCACCCCCCAACAGCTGCTGCTTCTCCTGCTGCTCCTGCTGCTGTCGTAGGGCTGCTTCTGCTGCCTTGTGCTCCTGTTGCATCAGTCCTACCAACTCTACTCGCTTCTCCTGCCTCAGAACGACGTTGTAGTCGCGCAGCAGATGGCTTATAGCATCGTTCATTGCAGTATACTCCCTCCAAAGGCCAACCAACTCCGTTCCGACCTTCCTGTATTCAAATAAACCCCCTGAAAAAGAAAGAGTTGCAGCAGAAGCCCCATCCTCATCCTTCGCGTTTCTCTCTGCTTCTGGTGTTGCTGCAGCAAACCCCAAGAGAGAAGGGAAAAGAAATAAGAAATACGAACACAACACTACCAACCTAACACCCCGGGGAAACGGCCCCGCAAAATGTAAATACGTCATTGCACATGCATTTAAAACAACAGAAAAGGGAAGAAAATATGAAAAATATATCAAATTTCAATTATCGCATGCCCTTGTCTTCCCAAGGACACCGGACCATCGGCTTCGCTTGCGGTGTTTATACAGCTTCTGTACTTCAGCAAACCGTCTTGGCTCTTTTTCAAAGAAATTTCGTTTATTGACCACTAAAATTGAATATTTACCTCCAAAATATATCAAATTTTCCCCACAAAAACGCAGAAGACTAACAGACGCACAAACGGTGCAGCCAACGGATTCGTCGGCGGGGCCGGCAGGGGAACAATAAAGAGAGCAGCCCCAGAAGGCGAAGATAAAAGCGCTGTTCTATGGATATTTTATAGAGAAATTAAGCTGTAATTAGTTGAAAATAAACAAAAAAATTATAATAACCATTCATTATTCGTGAAATATCCACGCCTGAGTGCAGAGGTCCTGAGGTGTACGTACACCGCACCGCCTTTGCGAAGAGTCCAGTGGAACAGACGGTGAAAAAGAAGCATTTTCTTTTCCTTTGCATTTCAACTAATAAAAAGAAGAAATTATAGAGAAGACAAAATAAAAACCGTTTCTAGACCCACACTTCCTTTAGACCTCCTTCGGCGGTGTACAGGCAGCTCCGTGCACAGACAGCAGAAAGCTTATTCAAAACAAAACAACAAAACAAAAGCTGGAAAATCAAACAGAATAAATACTCAACTTGAAAGAGAACAAACAAAAACACAAAAACAGCAATAATAGGCATGAGGCCTTAGGTGGAAATATAAATACACAAATGACGCATGAGTATAAATATACATGCAAGCGAAAAACTACTCACATAATAATAATGTATTATATAATACATAGGGATATCTATATATATCTACATATATATGCATATATATATATATATCTGTATATATGTACATATTTATTTTACACTTCAACCCATACTGAACACTACATACGCCTGCAGAGTTCTACACGTTGTACAAGTAGGGTGAATTTATACCCTATACCCTAAACCCCAAACTCTCAACAGAAGGCAGAACCCTTCAGGGTAGGGTTTAGGGTTTGTCTTCTTCATTTTGGTGTTCCTACTGTTCCTCAATGCGACAGACAAAAAAAACCTTTATCTATTTTACTTGTTTGTTGTTTTGTTTGTTGATCTGTTTTATACATTTATTTTTTCAATTTATCCCATTGATTTATTTATTTCTGTACACAAAAAACGACAAAGAGGCAGGGGAACGCGAAAGCCCTTCCAGGCCTCTGCTCTGCTGTGCGCCTAGGGTTTAGGGTTTATGGTTTAGGGTTTTTCGTTTGTAGATGCGGAGTAAATCGTGAAGAGAACAGGAGACAGACAGACGAGAAGACTATTTCTTTTTCTATCTAATCTGATCGCCGTCTCCTCGTTTTATATTTCTTTTTTTTCGCTTTTTTAAGTTTTGTTGTTTTCTTCGCTCTTCCCTCTCTTCATGTCCCACTCTGTTTGTCTCCCTGTTTAAACGAATAAAAGAAAAAGAAACGGACTGCAAGAGTGCTGCGGCTTGCTGCTGCTGCTGCTTGCTGCTGCTGATTGCTGCTCCTGCTGCTGCTGCAGCAGGTATTAATAGTTATTTCGCTTTTGTTTCTCCTTCAGCACTGCAGGGATAAGAAGAAAAGAAGTAAAAAGAGATAACAAACTCAAAACACCAAACAAAGCCGGCCACCCGTACGCCTCGCTTATTGCAGCTGTACATACACCCTAAACGCACAACAGCAAAACCCTAAACCCTAAACCCTAAACAAACAACAAAAAACCCTCCCCTCGTCTTCTCTTTTAAACAAACACAAACCGCAAACCCTCAACCCTATGCCCTGAACGCTGAAGCCACTTCCCTAAACCTCACACCTTGAACCCTAAACCCTAACCGCCACCCCCCATATCCTAAACCTTAGCACTGAAACCCTAAACCCTAAACCCTAGTTCCTAAACCCTTGCCTTATACACCTTCCCTGTCGAAATTCCCTAAACCCTCTTCTTTATCCGCTAAATCCTAAACACTAATTTGCTTGTGGGGGGTTTCATTCTGTTTGATATTTTGTTGTTTACCTGAAGAAGGGCGCCAACCGCCCCCACTGCATTAATAAGCGTAGCAAGAGCTGTGGCTTGCATTAGAGGAGCATTAAAAAATTCTACAATATCGATTGCTGCTGCTGCTCCTAGGATTGCGTCTGGGCCTGCATTTAGCAGCCCCACCAGCAGCAAACACAGCAGCAGCAGCAGCAAAATACGCTGCGTCTGCTGCTGCAACGCAGCTTCCCTCTCCTTTTTCTCTGCACGCAGCAATCCCTCATCATCGAGCTGCTGCTGCAGCAAACCCTCAGCAAACTCCACATCTTCAGCGCTCAATGTCTCCACTTGATGATCCTCCTCTCCTGCTGCTGGTGCGGCTGCTGCTGGTGTTGCTGGTGCTGCTGCTGCTGCTGCATCCTCTGCTGCAGCAGCAGCAGCAGCAGGATCATCGGCGCCTAGACTTCTTTGTTTGACGTCATTGGGTTTATTGCTGCTGTCAATTATAGAAGGAATAGGAAGAGGGCCGAAGACAAACAACGAAGGGACAGAAAACAAAGACGGACGCAGGTGCCGCTCCTGCTGCTGCTGCTGCTGCTGCTGCTGTTGCATTTCCTGCTGCTGCTGCTCCTGTTGCTGGTGCTGTTGTTGCTGCTGCTGCTTCTGTTTCCTCCTTTCATCTTGTTGTGTCAAACGGAAGACCGGCGGCTCTTGTGGGGTTTGCTGCTGATACAAATTGCCTTTAAACGGAGACAGAGGGTGAGTGGCTGCTGCTACTGCTCCGCTGCTGGTGCTGTTGTTGCTGCTGCTGGTGCTGGTGCTGTTGTTGTTTTCATGCTGCTGACTAAGACGTTTTATGGGTATTTGCGTTTGTATTTCTTCGTTTGTTCTCTCGTGCTGCAATTGCTGCGGCTGCTGCTGATGTTGCTGCTGCTGCTGCTGCTGTTCATAGTTTCTGTTGCTCCACTTTTCCTGCAGCGTTTGTCTCAGCCGCAGCAGACGGAGCTGTTCGTACAGCTGGAGATCTTCTTCCGCTGCTTGAAGAGAAGACAGCTGCTTAGCAGACAGCAGCAGCAAACACAAAGCGAAGGCGGTAGCTACACACAAAGCTGCTGCTAACGTCAGCCGACGGCCTGCAGGCAGCAAACAAGGAAAAATAAACAAATATATAAACAAATAAACATTATATATTCTATTCAATTCTATTATATAATACTATATTTTATAATATAATATAAAATAATATAATATACAATCAACATTTATTTGCTTTATATTTTAAATACAAGATAAATAGTTAGATTAAATATTTTTAAAATAGAAAATGAAAAAGAACGACAAATTCACCGCAATAGAGATGGACAGCCGAAGAGAGTAAATAAATTAAATTAAATTAGATTAAACTAAACTAAACAAAAGAAGCCGGACAAATACAATAGCAAAAGGAAAATATTTATATTGTCTGCATCTACGAATTATCTTTTCTTTGTTTATTATTTATGTTGTATTTATTTGGCTGTATTATATCGTATTATATCTTTTCTAAAGGAGTTTTGCTTTACATATGATTACTTGTCTTCTTTTTTGAGAACTATTTTTAAATTAATTATATTTATATTATTGTGTTTGCATTCTTTTTTCTGTTGGTGTATATTATTTCTTTTGTGTTTCTTCTCTCTCTGTGTCTTTCTCGCTTTCTCTACATATATATGTACATATACATATATACATATATACATCTTTTTATAATTTGAATAAACCCGAAAAGAAGCGGTAAAATATATTATTCCTTGTCTTTCCGGAAGTGTTATATATATAATTATTTAATTTTTCTTCTTTCTCTCACCCCTTAACAATTTATCTCCGAGAAAGCCGCTTATTAGAGCGCCTGCTGCTCCTCCTACATCGAACGCAACTGAAGCAACGCCTGCAGCAGCAACAGAGAGCTTGGCTTCTCTACAGAGGAAGAAAGGCAGCCAAAAAACGAGAGTATATCGGACAAACTTAATGCAGAAATAAGATAAACAGCAGCAAAACACTAATATATGCAAACAAATACGAGAAGACAGACAATCTATGCCGTACACACGCAGCAACCAAACTCCTTCATCTCTGACGCGTGCAGCTTCGTGAGAGACTCCACTCTCATCTGCTGCTGCTGCTGCTGTTGTTGCTGCTGCTGTTGCTGCTGGTTCAACAGAAGGCTCAGGGGCAAAGAGAAAGAGAGAAGTTTTGCTGCTGCTGCTGCTGCTGGTGCTGCTCTGCGAGGCGGAACTCAAAAGAGTTGCTTCAGGCCTCTCTGTGGCAGTCGAAGCGCTGTCGTCTTCAGTTGACTGCTCATATGCTGCTGCTGCATTTGATGCTGCTGGATTTGCTGCTGCTGCTGCTGCAGGCGTTGCTGCTGCAGGTGCGACTTTGGATGCCGCCGCAGCTGCCTGAGGTGTACTGTCTCCTTCATTTTTGCTGGCAAGCAAAGAGCAGCGGGGGGACGTGAATGCAGCAGTCTTCTCGAGAGACGGCTGCAGCAGCAGCCGCTGCAGCAGACCTCCGCAGCAGCAAACAGCAGCAGATAGCACGAAGCAGCAGCGCCAATTCCCCACCCACTCCACTAGCGAGCAAAAGAGAGTCGAAGATATGCCGCCTACACAGCAGCAAAGACACCTCAAAAACAACATCTGACTTCAACTGCAGCAGCAGCAGCTTCTGTTGTTGAAGACAATGCTGCAGCAGTAAAAAAAGCAGCAGAAACAGCAGCTGAAGCGGCAAAAACAGCAGCAGCAGCAGCAGCAGCATCTAATCCAGAAGCGCCAGCTGCACAAGCACCACAATGTACAGCAGCAGAAGGACGAGCAACAACAGCATGTGCAGCACCAGCAGCATGAAATGTAGCAGCAGCAAGAGCAGCAGCATGAGCAGCAGCAGCAGCAAAAGCAGCAGCAGCACGAGCAGCAGCAGCAGCAGCAGGTTGGTTGTACCGAGTTGTTGTGAGGTCGTCCAAGAGAAGAGGAGTCTGCCTCTGTTTTCTGTTTTAGTGTAGCTGCAGAGGAGAGCGAGGAAGAGAGGAAAGGCTGGGGCCTGAGCAGCGCCATTAAGCCCCCAGAAGAAAAGAAGAAGAGAAGAAGAACGACAGCAGCCGAAGATAACACAAGTCAAACAAGACAGCAAAAAGCAGCAGCTTAGCAGATGCCCTGACTGAGATGGAGACAAGCGTGATATAAATGAAGAGCAAAGCAGCTGAGCCACAGCATAGCAGCTTAAAAACGAGGTGTCTATACACCCCAGCATAAACGTAGATACACCCAAATCTCGCCTTAGTTCTTCCTTCACAACGGAAAAAGGCTTTCGGGTAAAGTACAGAGCGGTGTAAGCAAAATAACAAACAACAAACACCAACACACCCTCAGCAGACAGCGCTGAACCTTGGGACCTCTGCTGCTCCTGCTGCTGCTGCTGCTGCCCCTGCTCCTGCTGCTGCTGCTCCTGCTTGCCCTGCTCCTGCTCCTGCTGCTTCTCTTGCCGCTTCTGGTGAGGTCGTAGAGCAAACGCTGACGGGGGTACAGGCTTCAAAGCGCTGAGCTCGAGAAAGCATGCGGATTCCTCTCCAGAAGCAGCAGCGGCAGAAGGAGCAGAAGCAGGAGAAGCAGCAGGAGAAGTAGAGGGAGAACCTGCTGTGCGGCTGGGATCGGCAGACAGCTCAGCAGCAGCAGAAACAAAAGAAAATGGGTCTGCAGCCTCCGCTGCTCCCCCCATTTCCAAACAACCAGAGGGCAGCGGATGCTTTGAGGTGTACAGACAGCCAAGAGATGACATCTGAACAAAAAGGGCTGCTGCTGCACAGACAAGCAACAAACAAGAAGCCTGGAGATATAAATTGCATATATATATATGTATATATATA